ACACACATACATTTACTTGCCGTCGTTATTATGTTTTCAAAAGCGTAAACAAAACTACCGCAGTTATAATAATAATAATTGAGGTTCGGTGTTGATTTTTCAGTTTTTTTTTAGATACTTATCATAAATAAACATAAAACGTACATAATATTACGGAGATTATACTATAAAGAATAATAATCTTCGCATGCTACACAATTATAATATTATAAAAAAAAATATAGTTATTATATTCTTACTATTGATGGCTCAGATTTTTTATTTTTATTTTTTAGGTCTTCTCTCGCACATCAGCAAGATGATCCGCAAAGAAAATACCATTATTATTTATTATATTAAACACATACAGTTTTACAAACCATCTAATATAATCGTTTACCATAAAATAAAATCCACATGAAATTCGATTATTTAAAAAAAAAATTTTACGGCGTTAAACTGTTTACTATATTGTATATATAGTTGTGTTATATAGGTCATGTAAGGTAATAGGTACACAGCAAACAAGCTTTTAAATTGTTTTTAATTAAAACTTACAACATAGTGATAATTGTTTTATATTATAAAATAAATTTTTTAACATTTTGTAATAATAACAAAATATTAAAACACTCATACTTTTCACATTATGAAAAAAAAACATTGAATTGTTCATTTTAGTAATAGAAAATATAAATTGTTTTCGCTCGAATAAATAAATGATATTGTTAAACGTTGTTTCATATATTTGAAAATAATAAATTATGTTTGTAATTTAAACCGATATTGTTATGGTCGCTCGTTAAACAGAATGTGTGCATATTTTAATAGTTTTGAAGTGCTTGGGCTTCCGGTTGCTGAATATAACCCTTTCAACGTGTGTGTATTAGGGAACAGGAAATTATACTCAAAGCTGAACGGCTAAAAACCACTAATAATGATTCAGACAATATTCTGTAGTAAAATATAAACAAAAAACTAACCTACGTCGGTTAAATAAAATAATATGTTCTCTTAGGTTCATGAATCATGATGCATCAATATTTCAGATAACATTTGATACGTGCAGGATGGACATATATTTATTTTACAGAACAATAATAATGGACATATTATTATAATATATTTCAGTTCATCGAGAGCATAAATGCAACATTTGGATCAAATTCCGTTTTTGATTTTTTATTACCATTATTTTTTTAAACAACATATTCTTATATTGTATAGTATATATAACAACTATTATTATAATAATAACCTTTTTAAATTCGATGCTCTTTAGGCGCACATCACGTTTTGATATTGTTTTTCTTTTCATTTTATTATTTTTTTTTTTAACCACATACCATAGTAACGGAAACTCCATTGAAAATCGAAGACACGCCTTACATATTTACATTGTTCGCTAATATAGCATTTGAAATTAAATACAAATAATACATGTGTTGAGTGGTAGAAAAACACTGACTATACTTGTAAATGTTTCTGAATCACCCACGACCTCCATCTTTTTGACACAGTTCTTCTGCAGAATAATATTTTAACGTATATATATATATATCGGTACAAATGTGGCTATTTTCATTGATTGTGTTTAACCATGAAGAAAAATCGATCGTATCAATAATACAACGCAATCATGATGTGGAAAAATTAATTATATATTATAAAAATATAGTATTGTCGTTGAGTTAAACAAAGAAGATGAAATTTATTGTTAATGTAAGTTCAACTGACATTTATTTGTTTACAATAGTATTGAGCTGATGAAATATCAATGTATGATGGCTATAGCCTGCAATGATATTTTAAAATACGGAAAGTATAGTGGTTATTTATTTTATTGTAACAGCTACAGCAAGTTATGATTGTATAAAAACTACACTAATCTTGAGACAAATGATTTTTTATAAATGTTTTTATATAATTATAGATTTAATAATTTTATGAATTTGTTTAATTTTTTGTAAATACAAAATATTAAAGAGTATGTGATTTTTCTTACACGTGCAGTATGCAGTGTGTGCACGTTGTATATATTTTACCAGCGGAATGTTTGAATATTTTATTCATTATAATATAATTTATGATTAAATTAAAATTGCCAAAAATATAGAGAAACGCACATATAGTTCATCCAATCTTATATTTAACATCAATCTGAATTAATATTTCTTATTACACGAGTAAATCATGATGAGTTAAAAAATGTCTCTATACCTATACCTACTCTTTTATTTCATCATATCGTTTTTATCTATAGCTTTTTAATTTCATATATTTTTTAAAAGAATTTAAGCAATGTTATTCCATTATACAATGGGAACGTAGAACTAAATAATCAAATCGTTTGTTGATAAGACATTGTGCTCATGATGTCTGCTTGGTGAACTTAATACCTTTACCAGTACCATCTGACAATAACGAAATTATCCTAAACCTGATATTACCCATAGCATATACCTATATAAAATATAAAAGTACCAAATTGTTTTTTTTTTCCATTTACTCGAATTACATAAATCAGGTTTAGAGTGAGCACGTCTTAAATTGCTATACTGAACATAATTTCAGGACTCGCTATACAGCAGCGATTTAATGCAATGCCGTTTTGTATACTTACATATATTGATAATACAATGCGAGTATATATACTGGATGATACGTATTTCAGCTAATGAGAACACTTCTTTATTTTTGTAACCTTAAGTTGAAATAATATATTACATGGAATGCTTAAATACTTAGATGTTTTTCTTTAACTCTTTTTAAATTTCATATTTTTTATATTACCTATACCTCCATATACTATACCTATACCTACGTATATCATATACTATTCAACAAGAAAATAATGTAAGTACCTATACTTTCAGACTACAATAAATATTTCATCTGGTGGTCACATTTAGACATTCGGAAAAAATCAAAATCAAACCGTTTTACCCAATTATTGTGCTATAGATCTATAATACACAAAATAATAATATGTGTGGTATTGTATACTGGATATTAACATCTACARAGTGATCCATTTCAGTGGGCACACTAATTTTCTAGAAAAGTATTAACTTTTTTTGAATTTTTTTTTAAGCTTTTAAGTTTATGTTTTTCTTAAACCATATGATGTTTCAATTTTTTCATCCTTATATTTATTGGTGAAATCATTTTCAACTTTTGATTTTTAAATGGTAACAAATAATAAAAATATGATGGATTAATAAAACTATTTTTTTCATGAATTTACGTGTTTAAATTTTATTTTTCGTTAATTTGTTTACGAGATACAGCTACTAGGGAATTGGTGGTTTTTAATATTTTTCTAATAACCGTGAAGACCAGGAATCAGTAATAAATTCGATATCACTGATTCAAAGGTAACAAAATAAATCCAATTAGTTCAATTAGCTGATAAGTTAATAAATGGTTAGGGTTCAAAGAACAATAGTAATCTTTAATTAATTTTCATTAATTTTGTTATTTTAGTTTCAGCGATATCACATTTATCACAAGCTTCTGGTCTTTACAATTATTGGAAAAATAGTAAAATCCACCAATACTTTGAGGAGCTGTATCTCACAAATCAATCAACGAAAATAAAAATGTTAACACGTAAATTCATTTTTTAATTATAATATGTTACCATTTGAAAACCAAAAGTTGATAGTAGTTTCGCCAATTAATATGAGGGTGAAAAAAATAAAAATATTATACAGTTTTAGAAAAACATAATCCTAAATGTTTAAAAAAAAAAGTTATTACTTTTCGGGATAATGAGTGTACACACTTAAATGGATCACCCTGAATATGTGAATAAAACAAAGGGACGATAACGCAAAATATATATAATATTATGCTAATATGTCATTCGTAAATTTTACTAAGATTTTCAAGCCTAGAGTTATATATACATTGAAAGTACAAAAGTACGATCGAAAATCGTTTTGGGCTAAACTGACTAAAAAAATGACAATACGACAAATCATGTCATAAAATGTATAAAAAAAGAAAATATCACGGTTAGATTAGGGTCTTTATAAATGAAGAAATAGTATAAACAAAGTCGCATTCACTGGCCATAACACCTTCTTCAACCTCCAATAATTTGAGGAGATAATAATTAGAGTACCCACTGAAATGAATTACTCTGTATAATAATAAAAGCCTATTAATAGATAATTACCACTGAGCATTGCTAGTAGGTATTATTTATTACAAATTAATAACTATGTATGTATTACTCAGGATAATAGTTCATAACGATAGAGAACAGATTTTATATGCGAGTAATTAGTGATAACATGTTTTTACCCAGTTGTAATATTTGATAAACTATGGTTAGTTATATAAAACATGTTTCATGAACATTTCAACAAACATTAAATACATTTGTATGTAACAGATCAACAATAGATACTGATTTAAATGGACTTTATTAAATTTTGACAATGTCCTTTAAACCTTATATTGAAATATGTTATTCCCAATGCCCATCATATAACTTATTATAATTATTAAAAATATAATTGAATATTACTGTTTACATAAATAAACAGCTAGGTATAAAAAAATTTCAATATACTTTTTGACATCATCTCTAAAAAATAGGTATTATTATTGTCGAAAATACGTTATTTCTATGTTTTTAAATTTGAATGATTATCAAATTCTGTAAAATTGATGTAGAAAAAATAAGTGCTATATTGCATATAGTCAAAGTTTTCGTATTATTATAGTACCTACCTTAATTTATTATTATATTATATATATTTATACACATAATAATAATACCTACGTAATAATAATTTTGTAATCACGAAACAACTTGAGTAAATTATTTTTAATGGATATTTAATGAAAAAAAAAAATTGTAGAAATATTAAAAAACGACCTATGCCATGAAAAGTGAGTGTAACTTGTGAGCAGTCTGAGTTCTAACAGAAATAGGTGACATAACTGCATTAATTAAACCTGAAAAACATATTTAAATTAAAATAGTATATACAAAAATCTGTACTCACTGTATACGACCATGGGGTGCCAGGCGGATCGGCGTTCAGAGTTCCAGTCCTCCACTTGACACCTGTACTCGCCGGTGAGCTCGGCGGTGGGCCGCTCTACCCGAATGACCCGGTGCAAGTACGACCGGTCTGCGCGTGGCGTCTCTGCGGTAACGTCGACCGTCCTTCCGCTGAGAGGACCCAGCCCGCCGCCCGCCTCGGGCCCTCCGCCAGCTATCCACTGATACACCTGCTCGTTGTCGTTGATGATGGCCATCGCGTCGTTGGGTGCTACCGGTATGGGGTTACGCCGGAAGTACCACTTGACCACCAAACCCCGTAGCCGCTGCACCTCCTCCATGGCCTCGTCCATGGCCAGGTCCGGTGCCGGCGACGATGACCGCCGGTCCCGGGCGCCGTTCGCCGTGGACGCGGTCCCGTTGACCGTCCGCGATGGTTTCGTCGCAACGATCACATCGCCGTTCTCGTCGTCGTTCTCGCCACCCTCCAACGCGTACACGCAGCCCAACAAAAGCGGCGGAGGTGCACCGCCAATCGCAGTGGTCGACGGATCGGGTTTGGCATCGTATGACCGAACCACTGACGGCACGTCCACCCTGACCACTCGCACAACGTTCACGGCCAACGCCGCCTGATCTGTGGACAGACAACAACATCAGTTTGAGATAGTCGTTCACATMGCGGCAAAAAGCCTCGTCCCGAATCACGGAAATAACTATTAGTGTATTACTGATGTTAATCATGGTTTAGATTCCGACTTAACGGTGTCAAAAAAAAAAAAAACTATAATTATCGCAGTCTGTCAACTGAACATAACGCATTACTGTTCAATTATTATAATATAATGGTATTTGTAGTTTTCAAGTTTTGTATCCACTTTTAATATTACGTCTCATCATAGATGAAACAATTTTTATTTCAAGCAACTGCAATGTTTGTGCCTTAAAAATACTGTTTTTTTTTTCAGTTCTATTTTTTATATATATATCGGATTTTAATATTTTCGATAATTTAATATTTTGAATTTTCTGACCTAACCAAATAAAAATTAACGAGATAACTTATAATCATGCTTAAATATATTTAAAATAAAAAATTTGAA